TGGCCAAGCTGGGCAACCGAGACGACCCCCTGCCACAGGACCTCTTCGAAGGCGTGGATGAAGAGGAGTGGGTAAGGGGGGGCCACTCTCTCCGTGGCTCTGCCCACGTGGGCTTCGATGGCGGGAGGGCCGACCAGAAGTGTGGGAAAGCCTTTAGTTCTTGCCGGGCTTCTCCTCCTGGCTGTCCTCCAGGGGCGCCACGGTGGCAGACGGGATTCCCTCTCTGCCCCTCTTACGCCCACCACAAACGTGTTAGGTGGGTCAGGGTGGGAGAGGGTGGCGGGCCCAGAGTCACCCGTGAGATTTTGAACCCAGGACTCTCCAGTCCTCCCCTGGACTGCTCTGCCCTTCTCTTGGCTCTGCTGTGTGGTCCTCGGGCTGGATCCGTCCATGCTGCTCTCGCCCAGCAAGGAGCCCTGGCTGCAGGGGGGCGGCGGCCATGTGGAGGGGGCCCCAATGGGGATACAGACCTTCTTGCTCTTGGGGCGTCTCTTTCCTCACCCCCCACCCCACCAATGTTGCTGAGGGGATCTCCGAGAGGCCTGCGCACCTACCTAGACTGAGCCCTGGTTCTTGCTCTGAGGGCGGTTCTATACAGGTGGGGGGGCAGGGGGACAACTGGTTGAAAGCTGGCCCACAGCAAGAAAACAAGACAGACCTTCTTGCTCTTGGGACGTCTCTTTCCTCCCCCCCCACCCCACCCCACCGACGTTGCTGAGGGGATCTCCGAGAGGCCTGCGCACCTACCTAGACTGAGCCCTGGTTCTTGCTCTGAGGGCGGTTCTATACAGGTGGGGGGGCAGGGGGACAACTGGTTGAAAGCTGGCCCACAGCAAGAAAACAGAAGCAGGCAACAGGGAGGGAAGAGCTTCCATCATCGTGCCCATGCTTCCCCTGTGGAACTCCCTGCCACTGGATGTTGGGCATGCCAGTGTGATTTCCCTACTTCCCAAAGCAAGGGTTCTCATGAGTGGGCTTGCTGAGCTCCCCCCCCCCCGATCAAAGACTGGGCTCAGGCGTCTCGGCATCTCAGCCTCTCTCTTTCTCTCCTGCAATGTAGGACTAATCCTGGAAACCGGCGTTGGCGGCTGCCCCGGCCCTGTCTGCTGGGATTGCACCCAGCCCCCCCCCCTCAGCATCTGCAGCCCGGGCAGCCCTCCTTCCTCACAAACTGGAGCAGACCAGAAGAACGGCCGCCTTCTCCTCCTCGGAGAGCCTCCCGAGCATTCCCATGCGGTCGCTGCACCCACTGCCCCTCGGCCTCCTTCTCCAGCAGGGAGACCCCAAAGGCTCCCTCCGCTCTCCCCCTTCGGCAGGAATCCAGGTGCCGGCCACCAGGCGGGCCTCTGCCGTCCGGGCCAGCGCCTCTTTACAGCCAGTGCCAGGAAGCAGTTTTTGCACCCGCTGCAGCCACCTCAGCCCAGGGTGGCCGGCGCCCTCTTGGCTGCGGGGAGGGGAGGCTGCCTCTCCTGACTGGAAGGGATGGCCACGTCCGCTTTATTGCCTTGTCCTCCACGGGCTGCCTTTTTTGGAGAAGGTGGTGGCCGGGTGACATGCAGCCGAGAACGGGGTTCCTGAAAGGCGAGCTTGAGCGAGCGCCTGTGGGTGCTGCCAAAGCCCTTCTGCCCAGGCGGGACCCTCCTTTCTGCTTTCACTTGCTGGTGCTTTGGCTTACCGGGCAGGCCAGTTTTGTATTCTTTTTTAAAAGGCTGTAAAGGGAGTTTTTGTCTTGCCAGCTTCCTGCACAGAATCAAAACTAACTTTCCACAACTGTTTCTGCCTCGCTCTTTATTTGTGATGGGTAACGCAACAGGGCTCTTTCTACTGCCTAGTCTCGTGCATATGTGTGTGTGCGTGCGTGCGTGTGCATGCGTGTGTGTGCATTATTCACCCCCTCCCCCATGGGATCTTCCTGCCCCAGGCCATTCTTTGCTCCCACACCTTGGAGTTGGGTGCTGGGGCCCCAACCCTCCTGCCCTTCTCGCGAAGCCACTCTGTGTCCTGCCTCTCTCCCCCCCCCCCTTTCCTGGACTGTTGGATGCTTCTCTTCCTCATGGAAGGCTGTGCTGTTTCCACTCCACAGGGCATGGTTGCCAACTCTTTCCTTATAGGACCCGCCTGCCATGTTGACCTGAACAGCTGGTGGGCTGATGGATATTGAGCAAGTGCAGACTCTCCTCATTCCTTCACCCATAAGCCAGCAAAAATGCCACCAACTTTATTTCTGCAATTGGGGCTAGTGGAAGATTGCAGCGATTAAAGACAGCAGCTAGGAGGAGGAGAAACAAAAGGTGGTACCCCTCAGCTTTCTCCATAGCAGCTCAGATCGCATCACTTCACAATTTTCCCTTCCTTTGACAACCAGGAGATAAAGTGCCTCTCTTGGATAATAGTCCTGTTATGGGGCACCTGTGAGGAGCAGGGGATGAGTGCTCTGCAGCAGCAGGAGGGGAAATTTATAATAGTTCAAACCCCAGGATGAACCACACATTTATGCATTGGTTAGTGAAGTATGCCACCTACTGACTGCAAGTGATATTGCATGCTTCAAACGCATATTTAAATAAAGTATAATAAATGAATTAACGTATTCAAAAACCAGTTAACCCTCAGGCACAAGGTTTTCAGAATCCCCTTGGATGTGACTGCAACATTTTCAGTGTCTACATGCCGTGATATTTGATGCACTGTAGGAGTGGGTAAACCCAGTAGGGCCAGAACCATTTTTTAGATTTTAGGGGGAGGGGCTATTGTGGGAGGGTGTGGCCAAAGGGAAAAAAATGCATAGAAGTATGAACATTTCTTCTAAAAGTTGCAACAAATGTTTTTGTTTGCTGAAAAATGGGTTCACATAGGAAACATTGTTTTAAAACTAAAAACAACTGCCGACCCCCTCATGGCCAAGGGAACGTAATTTTTTGAAAAAGCTTATAACTTGGGGAGGTGTGAAGGGGGCCAGGGCAGAGCGGGGGGGGGAGAGAGACGCCTTCTCCCCCCCCCCCCACCGTGTCCCTTCGTGGCCCTTTCCTTCCCGATGGGCAACCACCTCCAGCATCCCCCGGGGGCAGCATCCTGGGGGTGGACAGGCTGCGGAGTTGGAGGAGGAGGAGGGGGACAGCCCACCCGCGGCCCCCGCACGACACGCGACCAGACGGACAGACGTGCACACGCGACCGGCGGCAGGGGAGGGCTCCCGGCTGGCCCAACCGCTTCCCTGGGAGGGAGAGAAAGCGCCTCTTTTCCTTTCCCACCCCCTCCACGCACGCCCCTCCTTGGGCTGCTCCCCCCCCCGGGGGGAGGAGGGAGGGGCAAGAGAGGCGGCTTTCCTTCTTTCGGAGTCGCGGAAACCCAACCGGTGCGGCTTCCCTCCGGCCGGCCGCTCCTCCGCCGCCAGGGGCCGCTGTCGCCTTCTCTCCCGTAGCCTAGAGCGGCGGCGGTTTCCGGCACCTCCAGGGCCGCTCCATCCGGCGCAGCTCTCTAT